ATGCAGCATAATAGAGTATTTACATTGCAAAACATTGTTTTGCAGTGTAAATATTTTAAAGAAAAATTTATGTTTCCTACTTAATAATTGTGGGTAGTTTTAGCAATATGTAAGATTATTTTTACAAGCATGTTGGTATGTGTTGATATAGCTATCTGAAAGCCTATTTCAGTATTCTTTGTTATTGGAATAAACTGAAGCAGGCAATCAGTTAACAAAAAATCTAGCACAAAATAATGTAAGTACTCAAAGAAAATCTAACTATTATTAAACCATTTTGATAAAATAAAAATAAAACAATTATAGTGCAAACAAGACTCTTAACCATAACAAAAATGAAGTTTTTATACTTGAGCCGCCTCCTAATTTTTTACGGAAAATGCAACAAATCAGGCCGTGTAATTTAAGTAGGCCATGGTCGTATTAAGATATATTGATGTTAACACCTGTGAAATCCGTGAAGATTTAATTGGTTTTTTAAACTGCTATACTGAAAATTATTCTGATTTTACTTATGAACCTGTATTAACAAGAGAATTGCTAGCAAACACATTGACAAAGTTTGGCTTCAATATAAAGGATTGTGTTGGTATAGATACTGATGGGTGCAGCCTTATGTTAGGTGAAAACAACGGAGCAATAACGAGATTACAGAAGATCCTACCAAACGCAATAAAAAGTCTATGTTACAACCATGCTTTAAACTTATCAATTTCCAAATGTTCGTCTGTGCGAGCTGTAAGAAATACAATTGGCACAATGAAAGAAGTAAAATCATTTTTTAAAGCTTTGCTGAAGCGAAGTAACGTTCTTAAATATATAAATAAGGGAATGCTTACCAACTTATGCGAAACGAGATGGATTGAACAGCATGATTCTGTGTTAAGTTTTAGATCTTGTTTAATAAATATATTAGAAACATTTGATTTGATATCTCAGTGGAATTGTTCGTTAGATTTGGATTCTTCAACAAAGCCGCATTACTAAAAAATGCAGTACCTGATCCCTTATTTTTAATAACACTTTGTTCATTAGCCAATGTGTTAAATACCACAGTCTCTTTAAGTCAGACTCTTCAAAAAAAAAATTATTAAATAAGGAATATGTCAAAACTATTCTTAAGCATACCATAAAGATATTAAATAAAAGATGACAGAATGAAAAAAGCATACAAGCAAAGTGATAATAATGTCTTCCCTTTAATTAGATGTATTTTGCAATTGCTTTGCACTCTTCCCGTTAGCAATGCTTCGGGAGAACGGAGTTTCTCGGTTCTAAAAAGACTTAAAACTTGGTTAAGATCCAAAATAGGACAAGAACGATTAAATAGCTTAGCTATCATGCATATTCATAGAGATTGCATTATAAATATCGAAAAGATTATTGATAGTTTTGCATCTTCGAAAAGAAAGTTTAATTTTATATTGTAGTTTGTTAAATTTATAAGAACCTCAATGAAAAAAAAGAATATACTAAATATTTTGTCTTTTGTTGTACATTACAAAAAGGGTTTACCAATAGGCAGACAAGACTGCTGCTTTTGCACTATGATTTTAGCGGCCTCGATTAGTGTTTAAGGCCCCAAAAATATTTTCTGCCTAAGGCCCTCGAGGAAATAAATACGTCCTTTATTACAGACTAAATATTGATTTTTAACATTTGATTTTTTTAAGATATTTATATACAGATACATTCAATGTATTTATTAGCAAACTTTTCTAAAAACATTTTAAATAATCAAATAAAACTGCGGTTTATCTAAAGGAAAAAAAAGCGGATTTTTGTTGTTGGTCAAATTACCCCCTCCCCCTATATATATATAAATATATATATATATAAATATATATATATATAAATATATATATATATATATATATATATATATATATATATATATATATATATATATATATATAATAATAATAATAATAATAATAATAATAATAATAATAATAGAGTTTGATTATTTGAAAAAATCCAACTTTGTGATGGGACTTGAAGTTTCATGCCCTTCGGCAATCATCAGCCATATTTTATTCTTTTAAATCAAGAAAAAAACCGTTAAAAAATGCAAAATACAAAAATTAACAGAAAAAACAATAGCAAAGCAATAGAATATCTATTGTCTCAAGTTGCACAGTTTTATAATAAAAATGATTTCGGACTATACGACGCGATGACGGCTTAGCAGTTTTTAAAAATATGAGTGGCCCCTAACTGGAAAAAATTAAAAAACATTTTGTTGAAATATTTAAAAAAAACGAACTCAATATATCAATACAATGCAACATGAAAGTTGTAAATTACCTTGACGTCACATTAAATCTAAATGACCATATTCCAATGACACTTTCCAACCATATTCTAAGCCCGGAAATTCCTTAAATTATATTCATACTGATTCAAACCACCCACCAAATATTTTAAAACAGCTTCCGCATTCAATTGAGTTAAGATTGTCTGTAAATTCCTCAAGTGAAGAAATTTTCCAAAGATCTACTCCTACATACAATGACGCACTGTTAAGGTCCGGTTTTAATCATAAACTTTCATACCACCCTAATTTAAATTCACCTTATACAAAAAACCGTAAACGCAACATCATTTGGTTTAACCCACTTTTCAGCAAAAATGTAAGCACTAACATAGGAAAAAGCTTCTTAACCTTAGTCAACAAACACTTCCCAATAAATCACAAGTTCCACAAAATCTTCAACAGAAACACCATAAAAGTAAGCTATAGCTGTATGCCGAACATGAAATCTATCCTAAATGCACACAATCGACAAATTATGAACAACAAAAAAGATCCACCTAAAACCAATTGCAACTGCCTTAATAAAAGCACCTGCCCTCTATCAAACCAATGCTTAACAAAAAACATTGTATACCAAGCTAAAATAGGTTCAACTAATCCTACTACCACTCCTGACAACAAACTATACATCGGTATAAACGAAACACCATTTAAAATTAGATATGCCAACCATATAAAATCTTTTACCATTCTAAAATACAAAAATGACACTGAACTATCAAAAGAATTTTGGAAACTGAAAGATGCAAATTTAAATCCAGTTATTAAATGGAAAATAATTAAGCAGTGCAATGCTTACAACCCAACCACGAAGTCTTGCAAACTGTGTATAAATGAAAAATATCAAATTCTGTTTTCCAAAAATAAAAATCTAATTAACAAAAAAAGTGAAATGATATCCAAGTGCAGGCATCGAAACAAGTTTCTTCTCGCCCATTTCGACACGGCCGATTAAACAATTTTCTAATTAAAAATTTGTTTTGACGTCAGAACTCATTCTATTGCTTTGTTATTGTTTTTTCTGTTAATTTTTGTATTTTGTATTTTTTAACGGTTTTTTTCTTGATTTAAAAGAATAAAATATGGCTGATGATTGCCGAAGGGCATGAAACTTCAAGTCCCATCACAAAGTTGGATTTTTTCAAATAATCAAACTCTATTATTATTATTATTATTATTATTATTATTGATCTATTTTGTAAACACTTACATTATATTGATCACTCTCAAACGAACAAGAGACTTTTGTATCTTAATTTAGTACAATAAAACAACAATATATATATATATATATATATATATATATATATATATATATATATATATATATATATATATATATATATATATATATATATATATATATATATATATATATATATATATATATATATATATATATATATATATATATATATATATATATATATATATATATATATATATATATATATATATATGTATATATATATTAGACTGGGACAAAAAAAAATTTTTTCTTGTTACAGGCTCTAAACATTGCTAATAGTTATTAATATTGATACTATCAAATATGAGAATGATTGTGATAGATTTAAAGGACGCAACTTTATTGTGAAAATTACCGGTACCTTAATATTTTGGAGAAAAAAAGTTTTTCAAAAGTAGGTCAACCTGGTACTCAAAAGAAGCAAAATTTTGTAAAAAATTCGAAAATAATAATCGTTTTATTTTGAAAAATTTTTATAAAATTTCGCTTTATTTGAGTATCTACATTACATAATTTTGAAAAACTTTTTTTTGAATAATAATAGGGCCTGCTAATTTTTGTAATTATAGTTGCGGGTGGAAGACATTATTCAATCCATAAAAGTAAATACTTTCCTAAATTAGTACATAAAAAAACAATATTCTAGACCATAGCCAGGTTAGCAACTCTAAAAAAAAAAAATTTTTTTAATAAAAGGTGAGACCGAACAAATTAATTATAATTTCAAATATTTGTCAACCATTTTTATTTTTTCTTCAATGAATTAGTTAGATGTTTAATGACTACTCTGAAAAATAACTAAAAATTAGTGTGCAATATATATGAGCAAGGTAAAGATGTCCAAGTTTCACCAAGTAATTTATTTATTAGGTTCTTCATCTGTTTAAAAATTTCAATAAAATTGATTATTTGTTGTTAAACTAGCTTACTGAGTTCAGGTTATGGTTTTTGATATTATGACAATACTTTATTAAAACTTGTTATAGAGGCTTTATAATTTGTCTTCCATTTTTTTGAGATAACTTTGATTTGAAGCTAATAAACAAACTTCTAATTTTTAAGACTTGTTTTTTCGATATTTAGTAAATGCATAATCAAACAAACTTTTATAAAAGTTTAACAAATTTTAACTTTGAAAATATAATAAACGAAAGTTGTTTATTTAGTACAAGATACAATAATAAGTTTCCAATAAATTTGCTTTTAAATTAAAAAATTTTTTATTCCATTAAAAAAAGATAAGCTATTATTTATTTTTTTTATTGGTGAAACTATCCTCATTTTGTTTGACTGAATCACATATAAGTTGATTTAAAAAAAAATCGTTTAATGGTTAGCGTTTTATTATTATTTTTGGTATAAGTTTAACGCTTAAAATACGTTTATTATAAAATAAAATATCTACGGTATAGCATTTAAAAAAAAACTGAAAAATAGAATATTATTGCAGCACGATTTTATAGAATTAAAATTATTGTTTTTCTTTTTTGTCTCTGAAAATCTTTTTTTGTTAGTTTCTCTAAACAATGTTTTCATATTCGTTTCGGCAAAATTTACTTCTAGTTACTGGTTCAGCCGGAATTCCACGATCAATATACCTACATCTATGTTCCCAAATTCTTATTAGAGCTTCAGAAATATCAGTTGTGTCTTTGTGACTCCATAAACGTTCAGCTACCGCAAATGCTCTACCAAATGATCTTTGTATAACGTTTGTTGTATCAACGTATTCACCCCATATAGCTGCGGATCCTCCCATAACTAATTCTTTTTGTTCTTTCGTTCCATTAAAGTCTTGGGGGTCACATTTGTAAAGTCTTGGCCAATCTAACCCGTATTTTATATAATTAAGATACCAACACGAAGATAAAATTGCTTTAAAGCCAGCTGAAGTGACACGATTCATTTCTTCTTTCCAATTTTCTTTCCAAACGTTTACAACAGTATCGTTCTCAATTTTTACGCCATCGTCAAAAACCTCTTGCCATACTATATACTTTTTCTTTAAATCAGATACAATCTTTGTTAATCTTTGAAGAAAGTATGTGTGCAAGGTTGAGCCGTTTCCTAATTTAAAATTTTCTTGAAGCCATTGCACAACTTCCGCGTTGCTTAACCAACATGCGAAATCCACTTCATCGCCTCCAAGATGAATATAATCATCTGGAAATACCTCTGAAATCTTAAAAAAAAAAATTCTCTTAAAAAATTATTTTAAGCTAATACAAACTTGTTTTTTCAATTATATTTAAATTCATTTTATAATATCACATATATATATATATATATATATATATATATATATATATATATATATATATATATATATATATATATATATATATATATATATATATATATATATATATATATATATATATATATATATATATATATATATATATATATATATATATATATATATATATATATTATTTTAGTGTATTCTACAAATTTTCATTTGTAGAATACACTAACATAATATATATTCTATATATATTATGTTAGTGTATTCTACAAATTTATTATTGCTCAATGTTCTTAAAGAATAGAGCAATAATAAATTAGTAAAAACTCTTATCTAATATTATCTTCAACAAATTGTTTTTCCATCAGCAGGTTCATCAGGAAGAACCTTACTGATGAATTTACTGGTGGAGATACAAGCAACATGCATGTTAAAGAAACAGTTAAACTAAAAAGAGTTTGCTAATTATTTTATGATAAAATTATATTTGAAAATATTTTTAAAGGACGTCATTTAGGTCCGCTAGACAAATTAAGTTCAAAAACATTACCTCCTTAAAAAAGTCTTTTAAAAACTCATAACTTCCATTGCGTACTGGATTTATAGGCCCTTTCATATCTAAAAATATCTCTTCTTGTTGATTTGTGTATGTACATTCGGTCAAAAGGCCTGGAATTCCACCCCATGAGTGAGTGTGACCTAAAAGTATTAATTATATGGTTTTTTATAATTTTATAAACATTTTTGTAAATTAAGTAAAAAACAATAATGCGAATATGGGAAAAGGGAAATATAAAAGAAGTTTAAGGTATTAGTCAGATGTGTGTGCGGGTTTGTGTGCGCATGTGTGTGTGTCTGGTAAGTTACTCACCAGGTGTATCAAACTCAGGCATAACTCTGATTCCTCGTAGTTTTGCATATTCTATAATATCTTGAACTTGGGCAGGTTTATAAACGTGTGTCTTTTCATTGAATGCACCTTTCTTGTGTAACTCTGGAAATTTCTTACTTACATATGGAAAGGAAGGATCATCCACAATGTGCCAGTGAAGAACATTAAACTTACTGTAAGCTAGAGCATCTAATATCTGAAATATTTTAGATACCGGAAGATAATGACGGGACGTGTCAATTAAAAATCCACGAAATTTAAATCGAGGAAAATCATCAATATATGTTTTAGGAATTCTGTATGATGTACCATTTCTATGAACAACTTGAGAAAAGGATTCTAAACCTCTTAAAGCGCCCCAAACACTTTTAGCTTTTAATGATGAAGTAGGTGCAGATACATTTAACTTATAAGACTCATCACTATCAGCCGAAAGTGGTTCGTTAAGATCTTCAACAGTAATGACTAGAGATTTAACTCTTTTTAGATTGTTATCGGGAAGATACTCTTTATTTTGGAATGTCAATTCTTGATAACGACTTAAAGCATTACTTATTACAGCATGTTTTCCAATAGATTCAAATTTAAATGTTTTAGGATCAACTGTATATTGCTCGTCTTCAGATCGATCTTCTGATTGCGGTTTTGGCCAAACTTTTCCATTTTCATATTCGTAACCTAAATCTGCATACTCAGCAACTTTATTGAATATGCGCTTTTCTCCAGTTAAAATTCCTTTTGGATCTTCAAGATAAACTTTACGCCAATTTTGTTGAGCATATATATAAGCAACATTATAAAGTATCAGTAGTAGCTGCATACTTTTGAAATGTTTTATCGATTCGGCAAATAATGCATAAAATGGGCCTAACCAAAATATATTGTGATATGGTTGATTGGTTAGTATTAGATTGTGTAATTATTACGCATTTGTAATTAACATATTATAGTTATAACATACATTGCATTTTAACTTATATACATCGGAAGAAAATATAAGTGTTTAAATGAGTTTGTTAAATTATTGAATTATTATTTTTAATTTACCTTAAAAAACGAATGTTAAAAAAAAATATTTCATACACTGCATATCACTTTGAGTATAATTTATTAAAATGTTCTTAGAACATTTATATATATATATATATATATATATATATATATATATATATATATATATATATATATATATATATATATATATATATACATATATTTTTTATATTTATACTTAAAGAATCTATAAATCAATTAACGTTGCGGACTTCAGTCCTGTTAACATTTAACAAGTAATTACTGCTTATTGAACTATGGTTTTAATTTTGGGCGATAGAAAACGATGTCGTAAACTGCAATAAATCTTCACAAAGTGTATATTTATGAATTGTTTACAAATTTTAACAAAAAATATAAGGAAAAAAAGGTCTATTACAAAAATTTTATCAGCTATGCTTAATTATTTTCCCAACATCTTCTGCTTCACCATCGTTGCATTCTGCTGTAGGTCATTACAGTTGCTCATTATAAAAGTCAATATGATCATGTGGGATATACTTAATACACTTTCTTAAGTTATTCAATATATTGGATATATTAATTCTGTATTGAAATTCAGACTTTATTGGAACTTTTCCGCTTGGGTAAATAAGCTGTTCTGGTAGGTTCACTATTTATTGCGTACTTTTTCTTCTCATAAAGTATTTTTAACAATACCATCGATAATTTCACTGGCTTTATATTAACATATGGTGTCACAGTCGCTTTGAAAATGGTAACAATTGCTTACAACAAACTGAATTTGTTGGTTTCTAGGTTTACTCAATGTTTCGACTGAGGTAGTGGACTAGCCACCAACATTTAACATAGTAAACTAGCGGTAAACTCTCTACATCAATTACTAAAAACTTTCTTTAAGTACTACTTTTTAATATAATTTTTATTTATTTCTTGAACGCTGTACATTCTGTTATGCCTTCTCAATTCTCTTATTATAACCAAAAATTCAGACATGTATACCTGTCTACCTTTCCCAAGAGTATGATGAACTCAACTTTTATGTCGATAACTTTTTATAATAGGACTGGTAACTGAACTTTACCCATTCATTCTTTTTCATAAACAGTTCATACATTATTTTCAAGTTCAAATCTTCATTCAATAAATATTTTTCTTTACTGCCATAGTGGATCAGTTTTTTTGGAAAGAAGTCTATGTGAGCATGTACCTTAGTTAATGTAGCTCGTGTGTACTTCTCTTAAACCTTTAACTGCTTTTCTATCCATTTTTAAACCCCTTTCTTTTTAAACCCTCTTTTCTGACACAGAAAGTTTTGATAAAAATGCCACAACACGTACCTGTACATGTTCATCTCCGATTAAAACATGATACTTGAATTTTTTACACCGTTTTCCTTTTTTGTTTCCGCCGTTACTTTTTCATTTTCATACAGTTTCTTTATTGGCATCACAACTTTTCCTCTATGCTTTCCATTAAACCAGACCTCTTCCTCACTATGTCCATAACATCAACCAAGCAGTACAAAAATAAATCCTGATCATTTTATGTTTTGAACTGGCTGTAGAACTTCATAAATGCGGACAATTTAAAAAAACAACTTTAAAAAAAACACAAATTTGTAATTGTACTATATAAAAAAAATCATAAGCTAGGCCTAGTCTGGTAAACAAAATAGGTGTAAGTTAATATACAATAAGTAATTATAGACTTAAAATGTCTTTCTATTGTCTTAGGCCTACAAATATTTACAACTCAAATCACCAACCTAGGTCTATAAACCAACAGAGCCAAAATCCAACCAAATTTTAGAGGAAAAATTACAATTTGACATAGACCTGTTATTAAGTTAAGTACTATTTGTGTATTATTACTTGACTGCATAGATCTCCAATAAAATTTACATCAACTATTTGTCCTCTGTGGTTCTCATATGCCACACCAATAAGTCTAGGTTTCCTAATCTTTTTCTGGGTTTCTTTTTCTTTACTTTTATCACCATCTAGGTTTCTCTTTCTTTACTTATATAACCATCTGGGTTTCTCTTTCTTTACTTTTAACCATCTGGGTTTCTCTTTCTTTACTTTTATAACCATCTGAGTTTCTCTTCCTTTACTTTTATAACCATCTGGGTTTCTCTTTCTTCACTTTTAACCATTTGGGTTTCTCTATTTTTACTTTTATAACCATCTGGGATTCTCTTTCTTTACTTTTATAACCATCTGGGTTTCTTTTCCTTCACTTTTAACCATCTGGGTTTCTCTTTCTTTACTTTTATAACCATCTGGGTTTCTCTTTCTTTTTTTTTAGAACTTTTATGATCAGAATCACTACCACTATTACCCATTTAAAAAAGCAATTAACCAACTTAAATCATTATTAAAATTATAATGATTAATAAACCAACTTTGTTCACCACACTGTTGTGATTGTACAATAGTGTGGTGAATAAAGTTTATTACACACGTAATAAACCAACTTTATTCACCATACGGTTGTACAATCACAACAAGAAAGTGAGGTCAGCTGTCTGCAGCGCAGAAGTTCTTATTTTTTGTTAAAAGGAGTGATGTCCGGATTTAAGCCCTTTTAACAAAAAACCAATCACTGTTCAGGCTAATGGCAACTTTTGACAACCATCTTTTAACACCAAATGATAGAACTATCCTTTGAATATACAAGTGTCCGACTTTAAACCTTAACCGATTCATATATATATATATATATATATATATATATATATATATATATATATATATATATATATATATATATATATATATATATATATATATATATATATATGTATATATATATATATATATATATATATATATATATTATTAATCTTAATAGTAGTGCTAAAGGCGCAAAAGAAGTGTGTACACCCCTTTTTTGCGCTGGTCTTGGGCACCCCTTCCCCCATATAAAGAATTAGTCGGCAAATTTAGACCTTTTTGTAGCTACAGTCGGCAAATTAAAACCTTTTCTTTAACGATGAGAAAAACACTTTCCACACTTTTTTACACAAAGTGTAAAAATTTAAGTAACTTATGTAAATTCATAATAATTTGTCATTTACATTTAGTTTGTGTAGCGTTACTTACAAACATCTGTAAGTGTAAACGTCAGTATGTAAAGTTGAGTTTGCGGGTCGTGTATGGAACGATCGAGCATAATATACATGTATGTATAATATGAGATTTTAATATATAACTTTTAAAAATTTTACAAAAGTTATAAATTTTTGTTGCTTAAATTTTTTTGTTTTGTATTTAAAAAAATTAAGATTGAAAAAACCAAAAAAATCTACTCTTTCGGTAGAGTGCTCAGCGCACTAACATTTAATGGGTATTACCCCTTTGAGAAGATCGCACTTAAACACCAAGCTACTAATGCTTTCGCTAAGATATTAAAAATTTTATTTTATGAAAATTTAAATAGATAGTTATCAATTTAGTTAGAACAGTAATGAAAATTTATAACTACCTATCCTATGACTATAACTATAACTATAACACCCCTTGATAGTTCTGCTAGCCGCTGGTTCTACTAGCCATTTTGCTAACTGGTATTAAAAACTTATAAATATTTCAAGCAACAACAAAAAAAAAAAAAAAAAAAAATCCTTAAACCCTTCTTTAAAAACCGGGTTATACATTAATATAATTTTCATATATGATTCATTAATATATATTGATATAATTTTCATTTATGATTCAATAATTATAAATGAGCAACCGGTTGATAAAATATTTTTTATACTAGACTTATATTAAAAAAAAATGTTTTTTTCTCAGCTAGCTTATATTCATCGATAAATTTTAAGTTTTATAGTATCAATCTATCAGCGTTCAAAAATTATGACCATATAAAATTTTTAACTCCGTCAAATTGAGGGGTTTAAACATTATATAGTCATAATTTTTGAATGCTAAAATATTTTACTATGAAGTTTAAATATTATTAATGAATATAAGAACATTAAACGTTTGGGGCCGGGGAAGGGGAAGGACAAAATTTTGGGGCATTTTGTTTCCATCCCCAATCATTGCAATTTTTTGCAAAACATTCTTATTTGAAATAGGTATAAACATGTAAATGTTTGGAGTTTGTCTCAAGTCTAGAAGTTACCTTGAAGACCAAAAAATGCTAGATTTGCCATTGCGAGAAGTGAACAGAGTTAGTTAAGTTGTAAACGTAGATTAAAAACAAAAGAGGACCAAGAAGAGAAACTTAAGGAACACCACACAAAACCAATTTATTGCTAGAATTAAAACAGGAGCGGGTTTTGTTACTCGCTAAGGAGGGGACTATAAAAGTCTTAAAAAAAAAAAAGATCCACATATTTTCATTTATAAGTAACTTTCTTTTTAAATTTTTTGTACTTTAGTGTAATAATTTGATTCGTCAGTATAATAGTCCAATTCTGTATGAAAGTCATTTTACAAAAGAATATTTCTGAAAAAAAGTCCCAAGGAGGGGGGGGGGTGTTGGTTACTATCCCCATGCCCCCCTCCTAAAACCCGCCACTGAATTGAAATCATTAATAACAAATTGTTTTCGATTTTTTTGATCATATCTGAAAGATAAGATCGAAACCAGTCATTTACAATAGCGTGTACTACACCTAAGTTCAGACTGTGAGCAGAGCAAGGAGTGAAAACTGCTTGTGGATTATTCTGCCTATTTAAAGTTTGAACTCCATTGTAAATACCTGCCATATTAACGCCATTCTTGTACCTTGATCACGACAATTGTTTGTGCAAAATTAGACAAATCCAACAATCAACCGACTTTATCAAAACAAACCACGTGATGTTTACAACTTTCGAAATTT